TTCACTCCATTTTATAGAAACTTGATTTTCTCTTGCAAAAATCTGCCTGAAACATTTTCCACATTTTTTTCACAATCCTCCGGTTAAGAAACGTTCGTTTGCTGAATAATTACATTTTCCGGGAATTGCGAATATTTATTTTCTTGTTTGCTCGTTATTATTTCTAAGAATTTATTCTGCCCTCTATTCACATCTGATATGCACAGTAAATTGCACTTTTTTTCTTCCCCAGTTATATTTTAAACCCGCTTCGGGAAGTTCGTTTCGGAGTTTTTCCTCTTTTTTTTTTTTTAATAATGAATCCGCAATACGGGACGTTCCGTTTGGAAACAAAACGGTTTCGAAGATAATTGCGGTGATCAACGCTCGCGGAATTTATCGTGGGATACGCAGGCACTGTGTATTTCATATTAAAATGAACGGCACTTACGCGTACTCGTAAAATTCATTAAAATTTATTTTGAAATTGATCGCGGTGGTTTCGCGTACACGTGCGCGAGAACTTCGTTAAAATTTATGTCAACGTGAAACTGCGTTGAATAATTAATAAATATTACACGTCTCGTTGCGTTCGTACACATGCTTTTACAACGCATCTAGAAAATCTGCCTCTCGCGATCGGATTTTTCAATTTTTAATCAACGCTGTCGCCGAGTACACCGTTAATTAGCTGAACGAACGTTTGGAAAAGTTGCAACTTATAGTTGATCGAAGGAATACGCTGGAATGCTTCGTTTCGTATAATTGTTTAATTGTATCGTTTATCAGTCTTAATTTTAGCTTCTGAAGCCAACTTTCTACGTTAAGGAGGGTTCTTAAAAATTTTTCAAGTTCAACTCGAGAAAGGCGCAGGTTTCTCTAATTAATCAATTTGCAATTTACGATGGAAGAATGCGTGGAAGGTGTAATGGAAAAGTTGTTTGCCGATTCTTGCAAGAAAAGAAACAATTTTCTGCAGAAAAATTAAATTCAAAACGTTAAGAAAATAAGAGTTAAATTAAATTTGAAAAATCGAGAATAGTAAATGGAAATTTAAAAAATTCTTAGCGGAAATTTTAAAAAGTACGAATTCTTATTGGAAGAATGGAAAAACTGTTTGTTGATTTTTGCAAGAGAAGAAGAAAACAATTCCCTGTAGAAAAATTAAATTTAAAGCATCGAGAAAATAAGAGTTGAATTAAATTTTAAAAATTAAATTACAAAAATAGCGAATAGTAGATAGAAATTTAAAAAAACACGAATACTTATTTATGCTAAGTGTTCGTTAAATTGACATAAAAAGCTGTTGTACGAATCCAGAAGAAACTTTTGCCCGCGAGTGTATACGCCTGATAAAATCCTCAATCGAATGCCGTAACGCGATTATGTTGTGTTTTACGAAACGAATAGCGGCTACGATCGACTCTACGAGATCCCAAGTCGATATTGCCACGTGCAAATCGGAACTTGGCCACACTACGATTTCGTTTCGCAACGTTAACTTGTTTTCCATCGTCGACGGCGCAAAACTGTTTCAAAAGATCTATCATCCTTAGCCAACGATGACCTCCGCATCAATCAACGACAATGTGGTCGAGATTCGAAAATTGAACCAATACCTCGGAGCTTTCGTAGGTGAGCTAACCTTCCTCTCATCTTTCTTGCATTAAAATTCTCGATGCGACATTTTCTCTATGCCAAACAAGCGAAAATTTTACTCAGAAAAGAGTGTTCAATTATTAGGAATTATTCTTTCTAATTCTATGTGTCAAAATTTTATACAATTGTGAAGAAAGTGAACATACAAAAGTGAAGAGAAATTAAGGTTACGTTGTTCCTTTGAACGAATTTCACGCTTCGTTTTGCAATAGATAAATAGTGAAATAAACAGCTGTTGAAGAATATTGTTGAATTAAATTATACAATTAGATTTTGTTTAAACGCTTCCAGCAATATGATGTACAAATTTTTATTTGTATAC